AAAGCCAAGTGTAGTTATGGGAATGGTTGGGCTTTGAGCCCAGCCTGGGAAAGGTGACCCCATAGCCAATGAGAGTGCAGGACAGGCTCCTCCCCTGACAGTGAGAGAGGAGGATGCACAAGCCACCCTGGGCGGACGTTGTACTCAGTGAGTTCACAGATGGTGTGTAAATGGAGAGCCAAGATGGCTGATCTTCAGGCTGGGACTCTGTGTATCCCCCAGGTGACAGAATGCCAGTGGGTGAGGGAGGAGGGATGGAGGTGTGAAGTGGCAGATGCCTGGGGTGTGTGTTGCCTTCCCAGTCTATCATGACGTCCTCACCCTAGGCTCAGTGGGGGGATTTGAATGTGGTCAGACCACCACTGGAAAAGCTCTACACATGGCCAGACCCCAGCTAGGGTGGGACCCTCTCTCTCTCTCACACCCAGCGCACTGGAGTTCTGCATGGAAGACATTCACATCTCTGCCTCCTTCCCTTTCTTTCCTTTCTTTCTTTTTTTAAAAAATCTATTTATTCTTGAAAGAGAGCCTGTGTGCGCACAAGCTTATGCAAGTGGAGGAGGGGCAGAGAGAGAGGAGAGGAGAATCTCAAGCAGATTCCTCAATAAGCTTCAAGCCTGGCATGGGGCTCCATCTCCTGGCCCTGAGATCATGACCTGAGCTGAAACCAAGAGTTGGACGTTCAACTGACTGAGCCACCCAGGCAATAATTAGATAAAATTATCTAGTTTTTAATACATGAAATAAAACACAGAGGATACAGAGGAAGCCAACTACATGGAAACACAGGCTTTCTCATGTGCCCTTGGGGGCTGATGGGCTGTTTGCAGAGAGGTCCCCTAATGTAGAGCAATATGAGATTTCAAAGTGACTGAGGAATTGCCTCGAAGGAGACAGTTTGTGGCAGTGAGGTCCTCCTGAGGTAGAATATCCTCAGAGTGCACTTGAACTTGGTCCTGCCGGCAGGAGAATCTGTTGCTGCTTCTCTGTTGGGCGGGCAGGAGGTGCTCGTGGACGGACCCATGTTTGCTCCTCTGGGCCCCTTATACTCCCTGGTGTGCCTGGTGATGTCCACGGCACAATCCCACCTTCAGTCATGTCCCTTGTCAGGCCCCTGTGGCCCTCCCCTCAGCCATCTCATGCCCAAGTGGTCAGGAACAATCTTTTTACCTCTTCTTGGCCAGCTATCTTGTCCTCTGAAATCTGAATTCCTCCAAGAAGTTTCTGTGGATGTCTAAGTGGCTCTGTGTCCCTCTCCCCCTTCCTTCCCAGCTGGGCAGGACTGGGGTCTTCTGAGGTTCCCTCTTCTGGCCCAACCCTAACCCACCTGTCCTGTCACAGGTGGGTGGGGTCTCACATTCCAGTCTGCTTTAGCCTAGCCTGTTCCTGTGGACTTTGGGTTTCCTTATTGATCTGACATTCTTCTCCTGTCATGTGTTTTTCAGATTTGTTCAAGGGGCCAGAAGTTGCTTTGAAATACCACTGGCTGAATTATTTCCTTCTGAGTTATTTGGTTTTTCTTCCATGACTAAATATCAAAGACAGTATTTTCACATATTGCACACCCAATTCGGTATGAGAAAAGCTATGAATGGGAGAGAGAAGCAAAGGACCATGGAACTTGTCCAGTCCAGTTTCTCCCTGGGAGCTCACAATAAGGACAGAATCTGAATTTAGGCACCTGCCTTAAGTCTTAGGAGTAAGCCCGCAATGTCCCTTCCTGTCCCTATTCTCATCCTGAACCCATAGCTTTTGAGAATACTTTTAGTGGGTTAAGTAGGATTCTGAGGAACACTATTTCATACCTCTAAGCCCTCTTTCTCTTCCACTGGGTCTTCATCCTGCAATGTCCCCTCTTCTCAGGGTTCCTTGGCCTTTCTTTTTGCTCATTGCTGTTGAATTGAACATAGGAAGCACTGAACACTTAGTCTAGGTAATTGGTGATCCCTCTGAACATGTCAGAGCACTTCTCTTCCAGGTAGGCCTCAGCCACTTCACTGGGATTCACTTCACTGAGATTCCCACTTCTGATTGGTGTCCAGGGCTACAGGGTCCAAAGGCACTCGAGGCTGGGATTTTTTTGCTGAATTTGATGAATCTGTCCATTGTGGGAGGCATATTTCCAGAGCACTACCCTGCATTTTTATCTTTGTTTTTACTCTACAGCACTCAGCCCAACATTCCCCAGAAGGTGCAAGACTTTGAATGTAGGGCCACCATACACAGCCAACTGGTCTGGCCTTTTTCCTCCTTTGTTCATGGCACATCTCTATCTCTATTTTTATAAAAAAAATTTATTATTGATTTTTGTCCTATAAAGCTATAAAAGTAGTTTAGGGTTGAGTCAATTTTTTTTTTGTTTAAAATAAATTTCCATGGGTGCCTGGGTGGTTTAGTCAGTTGAGCATCCAACTCTTGGTTTTGGCTCAGATCATAATCTCAGGGTTGGGCAGGGCAATCTGCCATAGGGACCTTGAGTTTAAGCTTCCTGCATATCCTTACTGGGCATGGCAAGAATGCCAAGTCCTGTGTGATCTTTACCTGGGCCATTTCTCAGGGTAGTGTTTGCAGTGAATAACCTTAAGAGATGATCTTTGGAAAAAGATCAGGCTCATGACAGCTCACTAGAAAAGCATGCATTCCCCAAGTTAAGAGTTAATCTTGACTCTACCAAAAGCCTATTGCCTATACAGCATCCACTTGGGTCCTTCAGAGTTACTGTCTGGGATTTAGGGGTTCAGGGTAACCTGGGCCCACGATGCTCATGCTGTTTGCTGTGCCGTGTCCAACAGCCCTTTGTCTATGTCTCAGAGCTCTCCTGTCGTCTGCCATCAGCATGAAACAGTAACAAGTTAATTTATGGGTTCAAGTAGGGTTAAATTTCAAACTCTGACAAACATTTGCCTCAGGGGATGGTCCCACACCTCTCCCATCTGCATTGGGAACCCTGTTGGCAGAGGGGATTTTATATGCCATGGTGATCAACCCACCTGTGTACTCCAGTCTTGGTAGAGGGGAGTTGAGCAGAGAAGGCCCCTCTTGCATAGATATATTGGTGTGGTTTTGGGAAAGATGGTCTACCGCTGCAGGGCAAACAGGATGATCCAGCCCTCACTGCTGACCTCCTGGAGCTGTGGCAGACTGTACACCTAATGTCCTCACTTCAGTGAGGTCCAAGTCAGACATTTCCACTTGGCTGAGTGCTTCTTGAATCTTAGATGTAATCTCCTATTTGTCACAAGAGGGAGATTATCCGTGGGCTGGGAGAGAGAAATAAGTTCTGCAGATGCTCCTGAATCAGTTGGACAGAATTTATTTCTTTGGAAATCTTGTGAATATTGGGTGAACCAGGCACAAGAACGTTAGTAGGTATTCCAAAACCAAATAAGAATTGTTTTATTTATTTTATTTTATTTTAATTTTAATTTTTTTTATTTATGATAGTCACAGAGAGAGAGAGAGAGAGAGAGAGGCAGAGACACAGGCAGAGGGAGAATCAGGCTCCATGCACCGGGAGCCCGACGTGGGATTCGATCCCGGGTCTCCAGGATCGCGCCCTGGGCCAAAGGCAGGCGCCAAACCGCTGTGCCACCCAGGGATCCCAAGAATTGTTTTAAATATTATATTATTTGCAATTTTTCTTTCCACTCGAGAGTTCAACTGTCTAGTTGCATGGTTGTAGAGTGATTATGTCTGCTCCTTTATTCTTTTACTATCCCCCCTCAAATTCTTGATGTTCCCATAACTCTCACCTATTTGCATTAATGCTCCATGATTCTCTTCTCTCTGAACAGCCACTCTCTGGGATCAATATAATCCCTATTTGGGGATGCCTCTTCCCTCCTGCTGATTATTCAAAAATAGTAATCCCTAATATGGTAAAAAATTTGGTTAATGATCCAGGTTTCACAGACAGTATGTCTGGGTTTGATCACCAGCTTTACCACCAACTGCTAAATTTATGATCTTCGGCAAATTCATACTTAATTCCTCTGTGCTTCAATTTCCTCATTGCTAAAATGGATATTATAGGAATAGCTTTATCACAGATGTTTTTGATGAGAATTAAATAAGATCACACGCACCTGGTACATAGCACTTACTTGATAAATGCCATTAATTATAATCACCTAGTGTCTTCCTCTTCCTCTCTTTATCCATCACCTCTGTTACTAATGACTTCTGAACACAACTTTTCTATTCCAGCCAACGTCCTTCCCAGTCCTTGTGTCTTGATCACTCCTACTTAGGAGACATGGTCCAGGCTCTTTTCCTAATTCATCCTTCTGGAGATTCTCTGAAGCTTTTAGGGCATTTTGTTCTCTAATCCCACTCTTTGCCCCTAATTTTATGCCTTGGTATCAACAATTTATGGGGTCTGAGGAACCAGCCCCTTGTTTTTTTTAAATTTTTATTTATTTATGATAGAGAGAGAGAGAGAGAGAGAGAGAGAGAGAGAGAGAGAGAGGCAGAGACATAGGCAGAGGGAGAAGCAGGCTCCATGCACCGGGACCCCGATGTGGGATTCGATCCCGGGTCTCCAGGATCGCGCCCTGGGCCAAAGGCAGGCGCCAAACCGCTGCGCCACCCAGGGATCCCCCCTTGTCTTGCTTTGCATCTTGCCGTCTGTATGATCCACAGAAATTATGTATTCTGATTCTGTTTCCTCTTATGTAAAATGGCCTGGAGGATTCCTTAGGGTTTTATGTGGCTATAACAGCAATGGAAAGGAAAACTTTCAATGAAAACCCCAAATGGACTATGAACTCTGGACTGTGTTTGCTGAGAAAGTTCTAAATGCTGAGCAATGTCCTTGGAAATGAGGGAACAGGGTGGATCAAGAGGCACACCATCCCTTATCCACAGGCAGCTTACATAGGCTAGTTTTTAAATATGGAATTCTCACAATAATCATGGGAGGAGTTGTTGATGCAAAGTTGCCCAGATGATTAAGTCACCTGATTAAGCCACTATGAAATATCTAGTGACTAGCAGAGCCACCACGTGAACCATGGTCAGAATGGCCCCAAAGTTGGCTCATTTTCCACGCATCAGCCCTGGCCATAGGTGAGTTGGATGCTTTCTTTCTTTTTAAGATTTTATTTATTTATTTGTGACACACACACACACACACACACACAGAGGCAGAGAGAAAAGCAGACTCCATGCAGGAAGCCGGATGTGGGGCTTGATCCCGGGACTCTGGGATTATGCCCTTAGCCGAAGGCAGAAGTTTAATTGCTGAGCCACCCAGGCATCCTGAGTCGGATGCTTTATAAAGTGGGATCAGCTTCACATGGGTAGGGGTATGGTCAGTCGAACTTGGATAAGAGCTGATTCTGACACCACCTCCTGTGTGAAAGCTGAGGCCTGAAAGTGAGAATGGGAATATGATAGGGTAGGAAGAAAGCAGAGGCACTATGGGGTAGGGAGTGCAGAGTGTCTGCATATTTCTACTTGTATCTTTTGTTGATCCCTGGGGCTCTGATATTTCCGTCCTGCTAACCCCTGTTTTCATACCTATTAGAGATTGTCCCTTGAGCTTGTGGAAACAGCACAGCACTCAGTCTACTGGCATTCTCTGTCCTTGGAATAGTCCATGGTGTCTTTCAAAGATGTCATTCCTTGTCTTATGAACTTGGCTTTCCTCCTGTCCTCCATCCCCATCACTTGGCTCTAGGACCCGAGGGGTTTTCTGCCTTTATTATCGTGGAGAAAGAAGGTCTGACTACTGAGGTAGGCAGTGGCCTAAAACCTGAGGAAGACTTCACTAGATCTGGAAAATCTTGTATAAAGAAAGTCACAGAGTAAGGACCTGTCAAAGCGGAGAGGACTTTGAGGTATGGGTCAACTGTGAGACCCACTGTGGGGCGGCAGAAAGTCAAGAAGGAAAAACTTGATCTTTGGGATCAACAGCTGCCCATGGTCTCTGGTCTCCAGGGTTTCCTTCCTGTCAGCCTTGAGGGATTGATTGCATGCTTACACAGGCAAGAGCTTGTGTTCAAGAAGTTCAAGAAGGAGAATTTTCTAGAAATTCTGGTAATAAGCCAGATGTAATCATCATGGAATAAAACCAGGATGCTGCCTCTGTATCACCAGCTCTTTGAGTAAATTTGCTGCTAAGTTAAATTCTTGCCATACTAGTGAGAAATGCATTTGTTGACTATTTGTAAATGTTATAGATTTTAAATCTTAAGAAAGTATTAATTTATATTTTTGATTTTGATTAAATTATATTTTTGATTTTTGATTACAGATTTTCATGTGATGATGGGTGCAGGACTAGCTTAGCTCTCTTCTCTCCAGGTCAGGCAGTATCCCAGGTGCAGTGCTGCTGCATTCAATTCTCTGGGCAGATGTCTTCCTTCTTCTTCTGACACTTTCTTTCTGCTGACCCCTCCTTAACACTTGTTATCAACCCTAGTAATCTCTCACTCTACTCAAAACCAGATAGATAAAGCCAGCTGTGGAAAAGAAGAAGGGAGAGAGAGAAGAAAGGTTTCTCTTCCTCTCGTGGTGGATACAGAAGGGCCAGGCCTCTATACTTCTTTCTCCTCCCTACTCTTGGGTGATCCCTGCATCCTGCTGCTCCAGGTCTTGGCACATGTCATTAACATATGGCTGTGGGAGGAGGCTGGTCTCATTTGGTGGGAAGAAGAGAGACAAAGAGGGTACTGTTTGGTGGAATAAAGGAGTGGGATGAGAGCTCTCTTTACCCTCAGGCGCTGCTTTCCTGGCACCGATCCTCAGAAACTTATTGTGAAAGAGAAGTTTGTCTTAGTGCTTTAAGGTCTTGTAAAAAGCTTAGAAATAACCAGGCAAAAGCCCCCTCTCCCCAACCCCCAGCACCAAACTTAACCTCCTCCCCTGATACCCACACTGACCCGGGCACTGAGGACATTTATAAATGGAGCCATTGAGGAATCTGGAGAAATTCATCAAACTTTGAAAAGTGTCCCTATTCCCTGGGTTCTGTGTACCTCCCCACTTTCCACCCCCACTTCAGACATTTAGACAAGGACTTTGGTCACTCTGACCGGACCATCTGCATAGTCCTGAATGTGGGATCGTAGCTCTTGGTTTCCAAGGAGATGATTGCATGCCAAGAGCAAAGACACCTAACTCTGTGGCTCCTCCTTGAGAAGCGGTTTGGTAGAGGGGGAAGAGTCTGACCCTAAAGCCATTTTTAGTTCCTATCCTGCCCCTTCCAGAGCAGAAATAAATTAAATAGAGACCAGAAACACAATAGAAAAGATCAATGAAACTAAGAGCTATGTTTTTTTAAAAAGATAAACCAAATTAACAAACCTTTAGCTAGGCTTACCAAGAAAAAAAGAGGGAAGATTCAAATAAAATTACAAATGAAAGAGGAGATATTACAACTGATACCACAAAATACAAAGAAGCATAAGAGACTATTATGAATAATTATACATCAACAAATTGGACAACCTAGGAGAAATGGATAAATTCCTAGAAACATACAACCTACCAAGTCTGAATCATGAATAGAAAATCTGGACAGACCAATGATAAGTAAGGAGATTGAATCAGTAGCCAAAAAACTCCAATAATAAAGCCCAGGACCAGATGGCTTCATGGGTGAATTCTAGCAAAAATAAAAAAAAATAATGCCAGTTCTCCTCAAACTCTTCTAAAAAAGAAAAGGAGGAAACACTTCCAAACTCATTTTATAAGGTCAGCATTACCTTCATATCAAAACCTTGTAATAAGGATATTACAAGAAAAGAAAACTATAGGGCACCTGGGTGGCTCAGTGAGCATCTGCCTTTGGTTCAGGTCATGATCTGAGGGTCTGGGGTCAAGTCCTGTGTCTCTGCCCCTCTCGCTGTGTCTCTTATGAATAAATAAATAAAATATTAAAAAAACTATAGACCAATATCCCTGGTGAATATATATGCAAAAATTCTCAACAAAATACTAGCAAGCCAAATTCAACAGCAGTTTTTTAAAAAGATTTTATTTATTTATTCATGAGAGACATAGAGAGAGGCAGAGACACAGGCAGAGGGAGAAGCAGGCTCCATGCAGGGAGCCCAATGAGGGACTCGATCCCAGGAACCCAGGATCACACCCTGAGCCAAAGGCAGGTACTCAACCGCTGAGCCACCCAGACGTCCCTCAATAGCAAATTAAAAGGATTATATACCATGACCAAGTAGGATTTATCCCTGGGATGCAAGGTTGGTGCAATATATGCAAATCAATACATGTGATACAATCATATTAATAGAATGAAAGACAAAAATCATATAGTTACATAGTCATCTCAATAGTTACAGAAAAAGCATTTGATAAAATTCAGTATTCTTTCATGACAAAAACTCTCAACAAATTGAATATAGAAGGAACACATCTCAACATAACAAATGCTATATATGATAAACCCATAGCTAACATCATACTCAATGGTGATAGGGTTGAATACTTTCTCTTTAAGACTGGGAACAAAAAGAAGAGGCCCATATCAGCAGTCCTATTCATCACAGTAGTGGAAATCCTAGTTAGACCAGTTAGGCAAGAAAAAGAAATAAAGGGCATCCAAATGGGAAAGGTGGAAGCAAAACTGTTTTGGGATGCCTGGGTGGCTCAGCAGTTGAGTGTCTTTGGCTCAGGCGTGATCCCATCAGGGGATCGAGTCCCGCATTGGGCTCCCTTCGAGGAGCCTCCTTCTCCCTCTGCCTATGTCTCTACCTCACTCTGTGTGTATTTCATGGATAAATAAATAAAATCTTACAAAAAGAAGTAAAACTGTTTCTGTTTGCCAATGACATGATCTTGTGTATAGAAAAGCCTAACAACTCCACGCAAAACCTGTTAGAATTAATAAACAAGCTCGGTACAGTTACAGTATACAAAATCAACATACAAAAATCAGTTGTGTTTCTATACCAACAATAAACTAAATGAAAAAGCAATGATTCAATTTATAATAGCATAAAAACAATAAGATCCTTATGAATAAATTTAACCAAGGAAGTGAAAGATCTCTATATCAGAAACTATAAGACTTTGATAAATGAAACTGAAGACATGAATAATTGGAATAATTGGAAATATACCCAATGGATTGTTCATGGATTGGGAGAGTTAATATTGCTAAAATGCCCATACTAAAATCCATGTATAGATTCAATGCAATCCCAACAGGATTTAGGAATTCAATGCAAAATCCTAACCTCATTTTTCATAAAAATAGGAAAAACAAAGCTGTAATTTCTATGGAACCACAAAAGATCCCAAAGAGCCAAAGCAATCTTGAGAAAGAACAAAGCTGCAGGCCTCACACTTCCTAATTTCAAGTTATATTGCAAAGCTTATAGTAATCAAGAGTATAGAACTGGCATTAAAGGGACGCCTGGGTGGCTCTGTGGTTGAGCATCTGCCTTTGGCTCAGGGTGTGATCTCGATCCCAGGATCGAGTTCTGCCTGCATCAGGCTCCCTGCGAGGAGCCTGTTTTTCCCTCTGTCTAAGTCTCTGCCAATCTCTGTGTATCTCTCATGAATAAATAAATAACATCTTTTAAAAAGACCTGAAACTATAGAACTCCCAGGACAAAACATAGGGAAAAATCTCATTGACATTTATCTTGGCAATGATTGTTTTTGGATGTGATGCCAAAAGCATAAGCAACAAAAGCAAAATAAATAAGTGGGGACATTAAAACGTTTCTACACAGCAAAAGAAACAATCATCAAGATGAAAAGGTAATCTAGGGAATGGGAGAAAATATTTTCGACTCTATCTGACAATGGGTTAATATCCAAAATATGTAAGGAACTCATATAACTTACTGGCAAAACACCCCCAAATGCAATTTAAAACTGTGCAGAGGGAGGTACCTGGCTGGTTCAGTCAGAAGAGCATGTGATTCTTGATCTCAGGGTCATGAATTCAAGTCCCATGCTGGGTGTAGAGATTACTAAAAAAAAAAAAGATAAACTTTACAATATGCAGAGGACTTGAACAGATATTTCTTTCCAGAAAAGATATACAAATGGCCAACAAATATATCAAAAGGTGCTCATTATTACAAATCATCAGG